AGGGAGGGAGGGAGGGAGGGAGGGAGGGCCGGGGAGAGCCTGGGTTCCAGCCATTCCCACTGGGCCTTTGGGAAGTTTCCTTGGCCTACAGCTTGCAGCTTCCTCCTCCTCTTCCTCTTCTTTCTCTTCCTCCTCTACCTCCTCCTCCACCTCCTTCTTCTCTTCCTATTCCTTCTCTTCCTCTTATTCTCCTCTTCCTCCTCCCCTTCTTCCTCCTCCTTCTACTTCTTCCTCCTCCTCTTCCACTTCCTTCTCCTCCTCTTTTTCCTCCTTCTCCTCTTCCTCCTCTCTCATCTTCTTCCTTTTTCTTCCTCTTCTTCCTCTTCCTTTTCCTCCTCCTCCTTTTCCCCCTCTTCCTCCTCCTTTTCTTCTTCTTTCTCCTTCTCTTCCTCCTCCTTTCCTCTTCTTTCTCCTCCTTTTCCTCTTCCTCCACCTCCTCTTTCTCCTCCTCTTCCTTCACCTTCATCTTCTTCCTTTCTCCCCCCCCCTTTTCTCCCTGGCTGTTGTGAGCTAGCTTTACCTTCTGGTCTGGATAAAATGGTGTGAAGAGCTGGGGCTGTATTCTTTGTGACTTGTTCTCCTTCTCTTATGATCGGGTCAGAAAATGATCGTTTCTTCAGGAAGAGACTTCAGATTCGAGGTGATGGGGGAGGAGAGGGGACAGAGAGTTGACAAACTGTGTCGCCATCTTGCCAGGAAAGCGGCAGGGTCTGAAACTCCTGGATGAGGTTTCTGACGGGGCAGCCAGCGCGTTTCTCCTCCCGAGTTCCCCCACCTGGGATCTCGCCTGGGCCAGGCCATCCAGGCCTCCCTGGGCAGCGGCCTGGTCCGCATCGGTCATCCTTTGGGGCACACTGGGGTCGAGCAGGTGCCTCGGAGTTTGCCAGCTCTTCATGGGGACACCGGAGCCACGGAGCCCGGCCAGGTAGGTAACGCTGCTGACACCAGTCCAGGAAGGAGCTTCCGGGTGGGATGGGGGACGGGGCAATGGGCAGGGGGAAACAGAGGTCATGTTTAGGATTGGGAAGCTACAAAGCGGTCACTTTGGCTACAGAGGAGCCTTAAAGGAGGAGCGTAAACTGGCCAGCCGGGCATCCACGGCTCACGCCCGTCATCCCAGCGACTCAGGAGGCTGAGATCTGAGGATTGAGTTTCAAAGCCAGCCTGGGCAGGAAAGTCTGTGAGACTCTGATCTCCAAGGAACCAGCAGAAGGCCAGAAGTGGCGCTGTGGCTGAAGGGGTAGAGCACCAGCCTTGAGCAAATGAAGCTCAGGGACAGCGCCCAGGCCCTGAGTTCAAACCCCAGGACCAATCAGTATGTGCGTGCGCGCGCACACACACACACACACACACACACACACAATCACAGGACAGACAACTAAGAATATTGGTATTTTGGAATTGATAGTTGCAATGTGTGTACTGGAATCCTAGAATTGATTCTTGTACAGAAAAAAAGGACATTTTTTTTTCAGGATAAAAAGAACTGACGGTACAAATTGTCTGGTTCTTTCTACTCTGGGCACATTATGAATACATCTGCATGGATACAGATACACGTATACATATGTATGTTAACTGTAACCCCTTTATAATAACTATATATATATATATATATATAGTTGTTTATTTAAAGAAACGCATCTGATCCTCACTACACACCCTGTGGAAAATGAACTCTACAGCTTGTGGGTGGGAGAGGATGCATCCTGGTGAAATTTTTCAGTTGCAAGAACTAGTTGTCATGTTTTGCTAGAGCAAGGCGGGGGGGGGGGGAAGGAAAAGGAGAAAAGCAGGGAAGGGAAAGACTCTGACTCCAGAGGCCTTTCCTTGGCCTCTCCTCCTCCCCCAGAAGAACACAGATTAATTGCCACAGCCACAGTCTTTTGACCCAGAGGAGGATGGACTGAGAACAGAAAACCCCGCCAAGCCATCCCTCCACAGGCAAAATGCAGTCAGGAAACAAGATCAACCCGAACACCTCTCTCTGTGTCTTGGTGCTTGGGGAAGCAGCTTCATGAAAAAGGATGGATCGCTTTTCTCTGCGAGGAGTTGTGTACCAGGGCATAGTGTGCTTGCTCTAGGAGAATCCTGTGGGGAGAGGGTAGAACGGGACAGAGAGAGGACAGAGAGGTGTGGGGAGGGGTGCTGAAGCTAGGGAGCACTTTCGAGGTGAGCTGGGCGGCAGGGAGGAGGCTGGGCCTTCCTTCTTGAGATTCTGAAGTTCCCGGCTATAGACTGGCCCAGAGCAGCCCCTGAGCTCTTCAGCTCAAGGCTGGCGCTCTACCACTTGAGCCACAGCGCCACTTCTGGTTTTTCTGGTGGTTCATGGGAGACGAAAAAGAATTTCACAGACTTGCCTGCCCAGGGTAGCTTTGAACCATGATCCTCAGATCTCCATCTTCTCCTGAGTAGCTGGGACCACAGACATGAGCCACCAGTGCCCGGTGATTGGGTCTTTGTTGAGACTAAATTCCCATTGTTACAATAACGATAATCTAAGACAGGGTTGAATAGGAAAGGGCTGTGGATGAAGATTTCATAAAGGTTTTCCTTTATCCTCTATTTCTTACTCCGTTTTATTTCTGTTTCTGTTCCAAACTTTTTTCTTTTGTCAGTTGAGGGGCTTGAACTCAGGGCCTGGGCGCTGTCCCTCAGCTCTTCAGCTCAAGGTGGGTGCTCTACCACTTGAGCCACAGCACCACTTCCAGATTTCTGAGGGGTTTATTGGAGATCAGAGTCTCATGGACTTTCCTGCCCAGGCTGGCTTTGAACCATGATCCTCAGATCTCAGCCTCCTGAGATCTGAGGAGTCACCAGTGCCTAACTTTTTTTTTTAAGAAACCAAAGAGCACATAAAGAAAATACCCATCAAGGCTGTTTATTCCAACCATCCATCACACTGATTTTGTTTGGCTCGGTCCTTCCCAAGGGGAGACAGGCAAACCACTCAGCCCCGCAGTGTTTATCCACAAGCCCCTGGCCAACTTCTCTCCCAGCTGCTATGGACCAAGGCTAGAAGCTCTGCAGGCATCTTAACTGTTTATGTTCTTCTTCTTCTGTTTTTCAAGGGAAATTGAAGTCATCTCTTGGAGGCAAACACTCAGACGACTTCAACTTTCTAATCTAGATGCTCGTTTTCTTGCATCTTTGTAAGTGGGTCTTTAGCTTTGCAAACTGAATGCTAGGCAATGTCAATGTGCTCTCTCAGAACACGCAGGAACCCCAAATAAAGCAAGGCCTTAGGAATCCTTACTTTGGGGAAAGGGAGAACAGAACTGGGCACCGGTGGCTCACACCTGTCATCCCAGAGACCCAGGAGGCTGAGATCTGAGGATCAGGGTTCAAAGCCAGCCCGGGCAGGAAAGTCTGTGAGACTCTCATTTCCAATAAACTACTCCGAAAACGTCAGAAGTGGAGCTGTGGCTCAAGGGGTAGAGCACCAGACTTAAGGCCGAAGAGGCTCAGGACAGCACCCAGGCCCGGAGTTCAAGCCCCAGGACAGGCAAGAAAAAGAGGAACAGGAGAATGAGTGATTTTTCTTTGCCCACGGTATTGATTTTGCACCTCACAACAGAATTTAAAATATACATTATTTCTTTAAAGAGAAAGAAGGAAAAGAAGGGTTTTGTCATTTTTGTCCCTTCCCTCCTCTCCCTTCTCTCCCTCCCTCCCTCCCTCCCTCCCTCCCTCCTTCCTTCCTTCCTTCTCTCCCCCCTTCTCTTCTTCTTTTTGGTGTCAGTCCTGGGGCTTGAATTCAGGACCTGGGCGCCGTCCCTGAGATTTTGGGGGTTTGTTTTTGGTTTTTGCTTAAGGCTGGAACTTTACCACTTGAACCACAGCTATACTTCTGGCTTTTTGGTGATTCTTTATAGAGACAAGAGCTTGAGGGATGTTTCCTTCCTGGGGCTGGCTTTGAACTGCGATCCTCAGCTCTCAGCCTCCTGAGTAGCTGGGATGACAGGCGTGAGCCACTGGTGCCCAGCAGTTCTTTTTCTAATCATGTTTTTCATGATCCTTACACCATCTTACGCTCAAAGATCAGCGTCCGGGTGTAACGTGCCTTGGCCGGTGCTTCCCTGTTTGCCATTCTCATTGGTGGAATTTTGAGACAAGATCTTCCTAGGTCACCGGGGCTGGCCTTAAACTCTCCTCCTGGGGTCCAGGATTACAGGTAGACACTACCATACCCGGGGTGTGTGTTTCCAGGTTAGAAACTGCACCCACCTTCTCTCCCGCCAGCTGAAAGGCTCCCCTCCCTACCCTCGACGAGAGAAAGGGAGGGAGGGGAGGAAGGAAGGCCGAGGGGGACAGAGGAAGGAGGGTCCGGAGACGGCCAAGACCAGACCAGCTTTACAAAGGAGGTTCCCATTTATTGACTATTTGAAAGTCTGAGCCGGCCCCTCCCCGCCGTGGCTCAGAGCCCTCCCCCCCCGACCCCCCGTGGGGGGTCCTCGATTTCCTCCCCCATGGCCTGGTGACAACCTGCTGCCCAGTCCCAGGCCCAGAGGGGCCGCCGATCCCGCCGAGCCCTGGAGGCCAGGATGGCAGGGTGGGAAGACCCGGACTGTGCCTTCCACCTCCAGTGATCGGGGTGCGGGGGGGGACCCCAGGAGCTCTGAGGTGGGGAGAGCACCCCCCAACTAGTGGGGTTACCAATCCCCACGAAGATCTAGCTTAACAGGGGAATCTAAGAGAAATGTTAAGCTCGGAGTTTCTGAGAAGCAACATGGCTTCTCCCCCTTCCCTCCCCCCCTCTCTCTCTGTGTCTCCCCCACTTCCAGGCCCTGGAAGCCGATGGGGGAGGTAACCAGATGGGAGGGGCAGCCGAGGTGGAGGAGAACCTGTGCTGTGTGTGCCCGCGCCCTCTCTGGTCTCTGATCACACATTCGTGTGCTGGGAGCCGGAAGACGCCAGGCTGCCGGGCTGGCTGCGGGCGGAGGGGGCCGAGCTGGCCGCCCGGCGGCTCCTCTGGCTGCTGCGGCCGGGCTCGTCGGCCTGCCTGAGCTTCTCATGCTCCTCCTTGAGGAAGAAATCCACCAGCAAGCTCTTCTCCTTCTTGATCTGGTCACTGATGTCGGTGGGGACATCGGGGATCACCCAGTCCACCAGCACGCTCAGGAACATCACCAGGTTCTGGGGGAGGGGCGGGGTGGCGGGGTGAGCGGGTGTGGGGGTGTGGTCCCCCCCCATGAGGAGCTGAGTGACCGTGTCCACCCTGTGTCCACCTCTACCATCAACCCCGCCAGCCCATTCACATCGATGCCTACATCCCTCGGACAGACTCAGTCAGAACCACGTGTGATGGGGTCGGTGTATTTCTTCAGGCCCTGACTTAGGTCACAGTCACCCTCTGCACATCACCTTTATCATTACAGCAATCGAGTTTGTTTGATTTTTTTTTTTGGTCAGTCATGGGTCTTGAACTCAGGGCCTGGGCGCTGTCCCTCAGCTCTTCAGTCAAGGCGGGCGCTCTACCACTTAGAGCCACAGCGCCACTGCTGGTTTTCTGGTGGTTTATTAGAGATCAGAGTTCCCAGACTTTCCTGCCTGGGCTGGCTTTGAACCGCGATCCTCCGATCTCAGCCTCCTGAGTGGCTGGGATGACAGGCGGGAGCCACCGGAGCCTGGCTTATTACTCTTATTAATAACGTTAGCCGGGCGCTGGTGGCTCACGCCTGTCATCCTAGCTACTCAGGAGGCTGAGATCTGAGGATTGCGGTTCAAAGCCAGCCCGGGCAGGAGAGACCGTGAGACTCCTATCTCCAATAAACCACCAGAAAACCAGAAGTGGCGCTGTAGCTTAAGTGGTAGAGCGCCAGCCTTGAGCTGAAGAGCTGAGGGACAGCGCCCAGGCCCTGAGTTCAAGCCCCACGACCGACAAAAAATAAATAAATAAATAATAATGTTAATGGTGGAGTTTGGTGTTACTGAGATTTGAATTTAGATTCTCCTCCAGTTAACTGTTTGCTTGCTTAGGTGGTGCTCTACTACTTGATCCAGCCACCAGTCTGCTTTATTTTTGCCAGTCAGGGGTTTGAACTCAGGGCCTGGGCGCTGTCCCTCAGCTCTTCAGCTCAAGGCTTGGCGCTCTACCACTTGAGCCACAGCGCCACTTGCAGCTTTTTCTGCTTATGGGGTGCTGAGGAATCGAACCCAGGGCCTCAGGCATGCAAGGCGAGCGCTCTACCACGGAGCCACCTTCCCAGGCCCCCCTACACTGGCTCTTATTTATTGATATATCACCTAAATTGATCAGGATAAATATATGCCTTCACCTAGCGTGAAATAGAAGGTCCTAAGACAAGATCTGGTGTCAGAGGGCCTCATCTTCCTCTCCTCTCTCCCTGTGTTCCCTCCTCTCTCTCTCTCTCCCTCTCTCTCTCCCTCTCTCTCTCTCCCCCTCTCTCTCTTTCTCTCCTCCCCATCTCTCTCTCAGTCTATGCTCCAATGCCATCTATTGTCTTATTACCTTTTTATTTCACTCTGGGCCTTTCATCCACCCTTGTATCCCAATAAATAGAACCTGTGCCGTGGGCCGGGGACCCCACCCCCACCCCCCACCCCACCCCGCCGGGCAGAGCCCCAGGAAGTCGGGCTGTTCCTTACATCCCCTGCCTCCTCTCCCCCAATCCATCCCAGACCCTCCTCTGCTGGGCCGGGGGCACACTGGGGGGGTGTCTTCTTCCTTCTGAGAACCCCCTTACACCCCACAAAGGGCAGTGGCTGAGCCCTTGAACCCCCAGAGCCGAGGGAAGGCCTGAGCCCCTGGGGCACGGGAAGCTGGGAGTCTGACGGGGCGGGGGGGGCGTGGAGAAGGTGGGGCGGCCGTGGTAGGGGGTTTCCCACATAAATCGCCCCCAACTCTGCCGAAGCAGAATCACCTGTCTTCGGGTAAAGCTCACCTGATACAGGGCTCCTCTTGTTTTTGTGGGTCTGGGGGGGTCCCCAGGGGGCAGGGATACCTTAGAACTCTCCAGAGAGCTGCCTCCCGGGGGGGGGGAGACTACAAAAGCCAGGGTGTGGGGGAGCGGAAGAATAAAGGATCCGGGGGCTTGTGTTCAGGGTTGAGGGGGGTTCAGGGGGGAGATGCCTCTTCTTTCCCAGTGGAAGACTGGCAGGACCCCCCCCCCAGTGGGAATGAAACGGGGCTCAGAAGATCTCAGGGGTGCAACTGGAGCTGTGGCTATTGTGGAGATAAGGATCAACCCGGGGTGGGGTGCGGGGGGGGACAGAGGAAGGACACCCCCCCCCAGAAGAGAGAGGAGAAGAAGAAGAAAGGTCCTGAACCTCTGCTGGGTTTCACTCCCCCCCCCCCGGCCCTTTCCCTTTGTGTCTGCGGAGATGAGATAGGGCGCTGGGCATCTTGATTTCAGGGCACAGCCCCCCCCTCCCCCCCACTTTCCTGCCTCCAGCTGAGGTTTCCGTGGGAAGCCAGTGAGCGGCGATGCAATCGACTCCGCGCATCTGTCTGGAAACCTTACTCTCGGGGTTTTGTGCTCTTTCTGTCCATGTAAAGCGGCGCCCCCCCTCCTCCTCCCCTGGAAGGCCCCCCCCCACATTTGCTCCGGGGAAGAGAGAGAGAGAGATGTTGACTTGGGACTGATCGGACGCACAGCGAGCCCAGGATCGGAACTATGGGAGAAACGCGATCGGGCCTGTCCCGTTCGGAGACAGACTCTTTCCTTTCTACAGCTCCGTACACCGAGTGGTAGATCCCGGGGAATCCCGGGCTGGTGATCGTGGGATCGTGGGACACGGCCTCGCTGCCTTGTATAAGGTGTTTGAGGGAGACACCCATGCCGGTCATCCCAGCGACTCAGGAGGCTGAGATCTGAGGATCGAAGTTCGAAGCCAGCCCGGGCAGGAAAGTCCCTGAGACTCTGATCTCCCATGAACCACTCAGAAAACCAGAAGTGGCGCCGTGGCCCAAGTGGTAGAGCGCCAGCCTTGAGCTGAAGAGCTGAGGGACGGCGCCCAGGCCCTGAGTTCAAACCCAGGACAGACACAAAGACAGGGAGCCAGAGGGGCGAAGGCTGCGGGCTGCGGGCCCTGGGGCTGGCCCCGAGCGGCTGGGCGCCGTGTGCGGCTCCCACTCACCTGGAAGATGATGACAAAGGCCAGGCGGGCGGACAGGACGGACCAGTACTGTTTGGAAAAGTCGTAGGGGTTGGGCGCCCAGGGAGGCTCTCGGTAGTCCTTGAACCTGCGGCAGAGAAGGCTGACGTTAGGCCAGGGAGGACACGGGAGGGAAAGTCCGGGGTCCAGACAGCGAAAGGCGTCCAAGCCAACAAAAGACGGCTGGGAAAGGGCTTCTCCTTGTCTGTCTCTCTGTCTGTGTGTCTCTCTCTGTCTCTGTCTCTGTTTCTCTGTATCTCTGTCTCTGTGTGTCTCTCTCTGTCTCTGTCTCTGTTTCTCTGTATCTCTGT